GAGTCCGCATTATTCTCCTCACTAACACGACTGCTTGGTACGGAACGCATACGCACTACCGCCTACCATCCAGCATCAAACGGTTTAGTTGAACGGTTTCATCGCCAACTTAAAAGTGCTCTTCGAGCACACGAAAACGACAATTGGTACGAAACCTTACCGCTCGTTCTCCTGGGTATCAGAACGAGTTTAAAGGCAGATATTCAATGTTCCGCCGCTGAACTTGTTTATGGCTCGACATTGCGTCTGCCTGGGGAATTTTTCACACCACGGAGCAGCACTAAGTTCGGCGAATCAGACTACGTCCAACGACTGTCTGCATTCATGCGAACACTGACTCCGGTGTCAACTCACATACAACATCGACAAGTCGCTCTCCCTCGAGAGTTATCTACCTTTTCACATGTTTTCATACGAGTAGATTCGGTACGCAAACCTCTACAATAGCCTTACGAAGGACCTTTTCACGTGATTTCCCGTCACGAAAAGACCTTCAAGGTTGATCGACATGGCCGCGTCGAAATCGTCAGCATTGATCGTCTCAAGCCAGCACACGTCGATGACAGTGCCCTACCTGATAAGCCGAGACCCAATGCTAAACCCATCAAAGCTTCTAGCGGGATCTCTACATCTACTTCGGATCCCACGCTAGATGCACCTGAGACCTAATTCTCACGTCCCAGTCAACAGCACTTGTCATCTGCCCCGTCTACTGACGAGACTTCCGTCTCACGTCCAGACCAGCAGACCACACCGCCCTTGACTGTGGATGAGATTGCAGGCTCACGAGGTTCGAACGAGACTACCGTCTCACGTTCCGGTCGCCGAGTACGCTTACCCGTACGCTTTCGCGACTAACCTCATAACCAGCAGCGGATACAGTATAGGACCTTAACTCTAAACTACACGAATGCTACACTTTTCTCTTTTTCTCTCATTTTTTTGTTTACCCCGAGCCTACGCCTCCGACCATCGCTGTTCCGGTATCGTCGACTTCAGTCAACTTTGGCGAAAGCTGACCTGATCACCCACGCTCTAGTCAACGCACTCAGTCGACCTCTCTGGCTCCAAATACGTATGGTATATATTTGGTCTTGAACTTGGTTATCCTGGTCGCATCTGGTTCCTTGGCTCAATCTGGTTTCGTCCTACGTCTGCAGCGTTTTTGGTCCGGACCTCTACGAACGCAACCTTCAGATTCTGGATACAAACCACTCTGGTGTAGCATGCTAATCCAAGCAATCAATACAGTACATTCCTTCTGGTACCGTTCTACGTCAGAGACTTTTGGTGGCGACTCGAGGATCAACGATCACTTCCTGTTCTGCCAACGCCTTCGTCCTACAATTGCACGTTTCGCGATCAGTCCCACGAATGAAACCGCTACGTATCGAAAGTGTAAACCTTTTCTAGCGAGGGGCTCCTGTAGTGACCGGCCAGTCTCGATAAGAACACGATTGGAATAACGGAAACAATTATTATTATCGTAACCAATTGTACCAGAGATTGTTGTACTGTATTTGTTTAACTGTATCAGTTTCACTTCTGCTTTCGCTCTCCGCCCTGTTTGGTTCGAACTTGCTCACGCACTGCCTGTTCGCCTGTACTCTTTGGCACGTCTCGGTATTATTTCAATATCACGAGATCGCCAATAAATACAATTGATCTGGATTAATAAAGTCTTCTGTTTTACGAGCTATCAAAGGAACCAAGTCGTTTTTGGGCGCGTAAACGAATTGTAGTGGTGATCATAGTCCGTCTTCGACTCGACATCCACTACAAGTTTTACAACTGCACTAGTCAAGCTGACGGGACGATAGTTACTAACTAAATCCCTACTCCCAGCCTTATACACCGGACTGATTATCGCGTCTTTCCAGTCTCTGGGCAATCCGAACTGCCGCAGGGACATATCAAACAGTATCGCTAAGGGTTCAGCAATAACATCTGAGAGGGCTTTCATAATCCGAGTGTGAATATCATCAGGACTTATCAGATTTGTGATGGTGAAGTAGACCTAAAACAGTTTCTTTCTTAATAGCTACAGGGTCCATCAACAAGTCGCCACAATCACAATGAATAGGTGATCGTTCCTAATTATTGATAGAAAAAACTTTACTGAAATATTCCGAAAAAGCTTCCGCTTTTTCAGGATCATTTCTTGCCAAACTTAACGGATTTTCTTGTATCAAAAGTGATGGTATTCCATCACTTCTCTGAGTTCGCCTCTTTATATACGAGAATAACCGTTTTGGATTATGTTTGCAATCTCTAACCAATTGTTTTTCGTATGACCGTCTAGTCCTACTAATTTACTCTTTACAAGTATTTCTAATCTTACAATAACTACATCTGTACTGTTCTAATCCAGTAGAGATGAACATGTTCCAGTGTTTTTTTCTACGCCCAAGAAGTTTCTTAACTTCTTTATTTATTCGCGGTGGACTATTGTTCGGTTTACGTAGTACCAAGTATGGTATAAACGGGGACGTGACTGCACTAAACTTGCCTTTAAATACAGACCACGCCTCGTCAATTGATGAGCTAGTATCTACTGACCAATCTATCTTAGTAGCACAATCCTGAATGGCTGGTATGTTAGCTCTCCATATGTTTGGGCGAGGCTTAATCTGAAAGTAAATCATATCGCTAGCTCTAAACGTGAATGATAAAACAGCGTGATCGCTATTCACTAACGGGGGAAGAATATTTAGGTTGGCAATATCCTCAGTCTCATGGGTAATTACCAAGTCCAACAGAGAAGAACCTTGGTTTACACCAAAACGTGTAGGTTTGGATACATGTTGTACTAATGCATGATCCATTACTGTTTCCAAGAGTCTGCTATCAAATGAGTTTATAGAGCATTGCGTGGTCATCTCAGTCCAACTAATATCAGGTGCATTAAAGTCTCCTAATATCAAACATCTGTCATTTGCACTCCATAGCCGAATGTGTTCTAAAATAAAGTCATCAGCTAAGCAGATTGGGCTGCGATAGATGACACCGAATGCGAATGTACAACACCCGACAGTGAGCTCACAGCTAATGTCTTCACTAGTTCCACTATCATGGGATTTGCAAACGGAGGAGCGATATTTATACTACTGGCTATGTATAGAAGGACGCCATCTCCTTTCCTGCATCTATGTCTATCACTTCTTAAACAATGATATCCGGATAATTCTGGGGTGAAATCGAAGTTATGGACTAAACAAGTTTCCGTCACAGCTACAATGAGTGGCCTTAATTTGTCCACTAATGCTCCTAGCTCGTAGAATTTCTGTTTTAGGCTACGGGCGTTGGCATATAGAACTCCTAGGGGGAACGACCTATCCACAAAGGCCTTGGAAGCATTCGCTTCCAAGACCTGACTTTTCGAAAACCCACCAATCGGAGATTTTCTTCTCCGTTTTGTCGACGGGTTTCTAGTTCAGCTAGTGCCGTCTTCCTTTTTATTCTATCTCCAAGAGACACATCCAGTCGCATTCGAATGTCAGAGTTGTCGTGACTTCGAGCGTTACTTAACAGAAGATTACGTTGTTTCTCCGACCCTAAGATTACCTTAAGGAGTCTACACGGTCGGGGTAGAACATTGTCATCGGCCCTTTTACCTATTCTAACTAATTTTTTGACCTGAACACCTTTAGTGTTATCTGGTAATATGCTATGGATATATTCTCTGAGCCTCTCTAAGTCATGGGTGTGTCTAACCATAGGATCTGGATCGTTAGACTCTGGCAATTTACTCACAATAATATTCGATGATATTAAATTCCTCTCAGTCGCACTAGGATGATGTTCTGCCGTTCTATCAGAGTGCAATAGTGAATTGAGTGACTCAGACTGTGAGTTTCCCAATGACTTGTCAACCAAGTGTGCTTTGTCTTTAGGTTTTTTTCCTTTTCTTTTCCTCCTTACTGCAGTCCATTTTTCGTCATTCAGGACAGCCGCATCGGGACTATTGGTGACGGTGACGGTTCTATCCGGGCCCGCAATTTCTACTAAAGATGCATGATTACTCATGTCAATGCCATGTGGTAATTTTCTCCTCGTCTGTTGTAACTGAAGTTTCACTTTGTCATTAATTAGAGTAGGTTGTTCGGCACGTTTTGTAACAGCACTTACAACACTGACACAGTCTTCACTGTCAGAACTTGCGTTACTAGAGCACCCACTATCGTTCTTTTTACAAACTAGAGCCAATAAGCTCATAGCCTCCTGGATTAATTTCATCTTGTTAGTACAACAGAACATACAAAGCAAGTGCGAGTTAGGCTTAGAACATCTTTTGTATGCAGCTGGACTTAAACGAGTACACATCTTGTGGAACCATTTTTGGCATTCATCACACTGCATCCCTTCATCTACTGGAAACAAACAGTTCGGCTGTCCACATTTGAATGCCCCGCCAACCATTGTAATCATATTAGGTATAAAACACAATATGATCACAATAATAACACAAGTGTCAGAGTACATGCAAAAGAAGGAACCACGAGACACAGTTTTCAATAAAATTTTAAACCTTAACTGAATAAATTCAAGTTCAAGTAGACCAAGAATGATTTTAATGCAAAAATACACAAAAGCAACGATAATAACAACAAGTATGAAAGTCACTGCCTTTTTTGAAACGCGCGCTGTTATATAATACCGTTTAATGAGTGAGCGTAAAGAAATCGATGGGTTATTACTACATCGTGAAAAAAATTGGGTTTTGGATATAGTATCATTAGGAGTATTGATATAATCACGAGGATTGCCATAAGTAAGAAAGTTGTTTCTAGATATTGGAGATTGTATACTAATTACTGTGATTGCACGCGCTAATAATAAAAGGGTAATTTGTTTTCGCTGCATGTACATATATAATGCATCAACCTGTCTAAATAGCAGTGTTTGAAATCTATAACAGCCTCAAGATCAAGCAATTTGACGTTTTATGATATGGATGACATAAGTTTACAAACAAAGTATAAAACACTGTAGATTGATTCATGGGTCAGTCTATAGAAGATGTCAAGACTCTAACTATCAGGGTGATCGACCATATGTGTAAAACCCCTTTAGATAAAGGTTATGGTTCAAATGAGTTCAAATCAATCATTCACCTTTTCGACAGGAGTTTTTTTACCATCGAGAATCCTCAAAACGTGGTGGAAGATTATAGACTTTGGATAGCTTCAAGTGTGTTATCAAGCGGCGACTATCCACATCATCTTACTCAGATTTTTATCGACTTGGGAAAATGTTCCTTCGGATCTCTGAGCGTTGGGAAAGAATCTTTTAATGAACAGTACATCGAATTGCTATCATCATTTCAGTTGACTTTATGTAATTATCTCGAACTAAGTGAATTACTGGCAGAGAAAATTTCAAAGCAAGATGCTTATTTGAAAGAAATATATCGTATTCATGAAGCTATTTTGCCTCACGATGGAACCTATGGTATGGAAAAGGTAAGAAATTTAAGCCACAGTTAATTTTAAATTATTACTTAGAAAATCACGTTGGTAGTAGAAATAATTATAAAAACCCTCTACAACATGCTCCAACACGAAAACCCAACAATATCTTCTGCTCTAAAGAAGTATAATCTTATAGATATATTTATATATTATGCGAAGTCCACGAATACTAGTTTGCAGGTACGATAATAACTGATATCCATTTTTTTTTAGATAGCTTCCTACTTAAGCTTGGCGTACATTTATAATGAAGAAGAACAGCTAATACCTGAGGTAAACGAAGATATAATTTTTTTGACAAACATGCTCGCTTCTGCTCTCAAGAACCCCTCCACAAGAATATATGGTTACTCTTGTGAAGAAATCTTAAAAGGATAGTTTCGTTTGCCTGTTTCACTTACTTTCGTTATTGTCATATTGTTCACAGTTTAACAGATATAATTAAGTGTCATAGATGGCTTCATTTATAATGAACACGCAAGTATCTACTCCTTTCTTTAAAAAAATGTATGAAAATCTTTTGCTTTTTAATTTATTCGTATATTTTACTTTCCCTCAATCACTAATCCAAAGGTCTTGTAAAGAAGAAGCTAGACTGGTTCGACGTTTGGCAGTTATTTCTTTGAATAAGTGATCTCAGCAGTTATTCCAGCTATCAACTTTATAAAATTGTTTATCCCAATTGAATACTGTGTGTTTTTCTTTTGGGAATTTATGCATTTTCATTGACCTACAGCATTGTATTCTGTAATCGTTATTTCATACGGTAGGCGTTTCAGTGAAATGCTATCGACTCTATGACTAATTTCCCACACTTGATGGTCATTTCTCAATAGGTTGCCTCGAACAGTTTTTGTCTGCCACCTATCACATGGTCGATACTCGCTTCACAGAACTACTAAACGTCATACAATAATTACCTGTAACAGTTTATAATCTGTTATGATACATGGTATACCGTTGAATGTTACAAAAGCACAAACGATTAGCAGACCATCCCGATACGATTACATTTCAATTGATCTAAAAGGAACGACAGGCTACACAAAAGAGAGGCACGAATCTCATAATCCATAGACAATTAGAAAGAAATCAAATAATAATTCAGAACAGTTTCATACATCACAGATAAAATAAGATTCCATGCATAACGCCTCACAAATAAATTCGGGTCTTTTGACCAAAAGGTAATATTGATATTTGCTGAAAGGATAAAATAAACCATTAATTATTCAAGTACGTAATATCACCTAGAAACTGGCTGTCGAAATTACAGCGACGATGATTTTAATCACCTATAGAACTTTTAAAAAATAGAATTCGACCATTCATAAATATCGTCGCAAACTTGGATTGATCTAACTGTTTAGTATTTTCTTTCCTCCTTCGTACATTCATTGTTTTGGTCACTGTTTTATCAGTTGTTAGTTTCAATAATTATGAACCATGAACGATATGACAACTTTCATCGTGTTCATGCTGAATGTATCATACTTTCACAGTGAATAATTCTTGATTATACCATTAACTTAGTCAAAGTCAAAATCACTGCAACTTCCATAGATATTGGGACAACTCTCAAAAAATATACAATGCAACCACGAACAGATCTTTGGTGTGAAAAAAATTAAAATTACCGTCTGTGTTCTTTATTTTATTATTTTTACAGGTCTGAGACTCTTGATATCCAATGATCAAAACAGACAGTTCTTGTGTCAGTCTCCAATACTAGAAAGCATTCAGTGCACTATAAAGACACTGAAAGGAAAGGTACTAGAAGAAGTTATACTTTTCTTATTGAAATTGACATTCAACTCTGGAATAAGAGACAAAATAAGAAGAGACTTTGAGGTCGTTTTGAAAGATTTAGATGCATTTTTCAAAACAAAAGAGTCTGAAACCTCAAGTAATATAAGAAAGGCTCTTAATAGCATCTTATGGCAGATGAGTCAAGGTTAGTATATATATATATATATATATCTTCCTTTTTTTCGAAGCACTATCTTTACAACCAATATAACTGTTTAACTAAGATTGGTTAAGAGCCTAAGTAATATAACAAATCGTCATAAGTTTTTAATCTAAGATCTCATTCTTGAACAGTCACGGAAACCGAACAGGCGAAATTTAATCTGGAATAAGGTGAATTCTCTTTTGAAACAGCCCAAATTATAGTGAGTGTAAAATGGTAATATGTTGGAATATTTGCAACTTTTGTCTCTGAAATGCAAAGGAAAAGTTTCGGAACTTAGTTAAATACATTGAATAATCAATATAAAACCCAATGAACACGAAGCCTATATAAACATCTAGCTGAAATATAATTCATTTTAGTGTTTGTTACGCTTATATTTCGCAACCACATCAGCAAAATTAATAGGTATTTATAGATTTCTATTGTTTATCAGGAATCTTTTGAAAAAGGTCAGACATTTTTCTATGTCTACCCATGACTGAAATAATTATTTTGTTGTATTTACAGTGAAATCTACCACTTTAATTATAAATTTGATATTTAGAAGTATGTATATAACAAAAAAGGTTTCAAATTTTCCTGCGATAAAAGATTAAATTTCATAACATGTCTTGTGAAATCCTATGAAAATCCACTTCGGTTTGCTTTATTTTGTTTGTACATGTGATTAATTTCTTGCCATCCAGTTTGTTTCTATTACTGCATGGTAATTTAATATTTCATTTATTTTATATATTGTGATGAACGTTGGAATGTGTTATGAATACATGGTTTAAGCCACATATAATTACCTACTTCAGCAAAATATGATGTGTTAAGTAATTTTCCTCTGTTAATAGAAAAGTTTTTCTTTACAGCAGGTTCTTAATGAAATAGACTGTTCATTTCTTAACCTCCAACTACTTCATATCATCCGCATGTTTGATTTAGAAATAGTCAAATAAGGCCAACAGGCAATTGTGTTTTGACACACATGGCCATCAGTGACCATGTGGTAAATAGGCCATGTATCTTTACATTTTTAAAAAGTTCACTCTCACTTTCTATTCACAATGAGAGTTATAAGAATTCAGTGAAACAATCTGAGGTTTTCCGCCCGAGATGATTTTATAATACCTCCGTCACTTTTTATCAAAGAAAACTTAACAACTTATTCAATTCTCTCTACCTTATAATGTATTGGTTATTTCACTTGTATCTCTTAACTAATTATTTATACACAATTAATAGTTACAAAAATTATCCTGACCTATTCCATTTTTTCAAATATTTATCCATTTTATTATGTAATTTATCCCCATTTCAAACATCACTGCATCCATTAACTCTGTATTTATTATGACTATTTATGTAATCAATTCTGATGTTGTCATTAGCTCATGAATTATCTTGATTAATGTCAAATTTTCCACACATACCTTTTATTATCACTGCCTGTAAGAGTTTAGAATAGTCAGTATACAATTGAAAATATATATGTATATATATATATATGGTCCTCATATACGCGGGATTCCTCCCGATATTGTATTACTATTTTAATTCTATAATTTAGATAAAAATTCATTAGATTATGAATCCAACTCAAATTCTTCTACTCAACTTGAACATATAATGATAAGTTACAGTCATAAACAGAAAGAAATTGCATTCAACCTTACAAAACATTTAAAAGAAAAAGGATATAAGGTTAGTGAATCAAGAAAAAAAAGGGATCTTAAAACTTTACATTATTATGATTTCTTTCATTACTGTTGAAAAATGTTTCTGTTTTTTATGTTCTCATAACAGTTTACATTGTATTCAATAGAATAATCATATTCAAATGTCATTATTAACGCTACCGAAAATTGAAGTATAAGTAATCACCCAGTACTATTTGTTTGAATCTTACCATTCATGTATAGGAATGCAACTGGTCAGTCTCTTATTGACACATGTGCATACTGTGCGTATTGCCTCGATATAGCCTCATTTCACAAGCATTGTAAGCAAAGATGGGCAGTTGCTAGCAGTGGAATCCAGTTTGACGCACGTTTCCTCTTATTTGGGACTCGTCAGCTGGATGCACCTGCATCACAGAATTTATAATCACTCTGTGATGCAGGTACATCCAGCTGACGAGTCCCAAATAAGAGGAAACGTGCGTCAAACTGGATTCCACTGCTAGCAACTGCCCATCTTTGCTTACAATGCTTGTGAAATGAGGCTATATCGAGGCAATACGCACAGTATGCACATTTCACTGCTAGCCACTATCCATCTTTACTCATAAGTAATCACCTTTTTTGATTCATTGATGTATTGTACTTTATCGAAACAAAAACTGAAGTGATTCATGACTAATATAAGTTAGGTATACTTGAAATGTTAGATCATTATATAAACTGATTCTTTCTATAATTTCATATTATTCATCAAATAAAACAAAATTTATAATTCAGCTATTTATTTAATGTATAACTATAGTGAATAAAGAAATGGATGAAATATAAAAAAGGTTCTATTTATTGAAACAAAACACAATTCTTAAATTTTGATTTGCACTGAAAATTTTGTAACGTTTTTTCTTGAGAATAGTAGCAAGAATTGATGTGAGCTAGATTATCAGTAAAGTTGAATAAATTTTTTTCTGTTAATTTGATACTTTTCAACAGTACTTAAGCACAATTACATCATGAATTTGACACATTGATTACAAGTCTCATAAAGAACGTGTTACTTTCAGAACATCCCGTCAAATTCAATGACAATCTAATTTATGGCAATTCATGATATTGTAAGACCAATATATAGTTGTCATCTACTTCAGATATCTGTTAGCAATCCATATATGACAAACGTAAAGAATTTTTTTTCGAATGGCGTAACAGTATATCACTAACTGTTAGGTTATTCAAAAGCTAGTTGACACTGTAATGAATGTGAACACACAAATGGAAACAACCGGATGTATTAGAACATAAAAATTACAGAACATCTTAGTAAAATCTGAGAATCATACAGTAAATACATCATCCGCAAGATATCAATCAATCGTTTGCACACCAATAATTTTCTTTTCTCGTTCACCTTCTTCGATCTTCTTTAAGTTTCTGCCACCAGGCATTCCACTTTTGAATGATGATACATGATACTCATATCTGTCGACATTAGTAGCACACACCACAACACTACATGTTCGAAAAATCAAGGTTAACAAATGCTTGTCTATTAATTCGAATGATGTAAACCACTAGTAAGTTCCGATTAATATTCATAGTTAACGAAAAATGTCTCTATAAGTGTAAATATTTTCATTGTATCAGGTATGGTTTGATCAAGACAATATGAAATATGCTGTAAATACATTTAGAAGTTTGGCTGAAGCCGTAGAAAAATCTTATGCTGTATGTATTATATATTCCGAAAATTATAAAAACAGTGAATATGCTGAAATGGGTAAGTGGAATTAATGTAAAAGAATAACTAAATGCGCTGAGTACAGTTTGATGTATTTTTCCTTGAACACAATAATACTAATAATATCTAATTGTTTAAACCAAAATCGATTGGTTGCTAGTTTTGATTGAACAGTTGAAAGTGGACAATGCTTAACTGTTCAGCTAACACTTTATAACAATTCTCATTAGGAATTACATATAACTATTACACCATGTGCATTAAAATATGATATTGGTACAGTAATATAATAGTTTCCAATGAAATAGCAATAAACTATTATTCAAAATACTACAATTATTACGATTTTAATCATCCGTATATCGACAATTTTGAACATTTCTTTAATAATTATAGTGTTTTCACTAGTAAATTGTCTTTAGAGCACATCACTGTACTTAATCTACCCGATGCAAGTTTATTTAGGGATCTTGACAACTTCATATAATTGGAGGTATATGCAGTGGTTACAAGTTACATATTTTAAACGTTCATACTACCCTCCATTCCCATTGTATCAATTATTACTGGAGATCATCGTATATCAGAATTTACGGTTATTTTATCATTTCACACTTGATTAAAACTACGTCATCAAATTTCTGAAAACTTTTCTCAAGTGCCACCTACGTCCACAGTAGTTGACAATGCTTACGGATGTTTCTTTCTGAAGAATTATCAGACCTCATTAGGAAATACTTGTTATAAAGAGAATATCTTACTATTGATAACTGAAAATAATATACTAGGCATTCAGTTTATTATCAAAGTATATCTAATTACGAAATTCAGATAGTTCTTAAAAATCGGTATCACCATTTTCATAATTGTTCAACCTAGAATAAACTACTGAATTCATTTCTCTAAAGGTAGTTGTAAATAGTTCAGATCAATTCAAGAATTTACTATAGGAATAAATTCATAAACTTTGTGTATGTTTAATTGTAATAACACTTATTTTTAGTAACAATATGATAAGCGTGCAGATAAACTCAAATTTCTTGGTTTTTAAACGATCTATGAAATACAAATTCAATATTTTGAAAATTCCTATCATGTTGTGGTCCTGTTTAATTTGCGTCAAAGATTTTGTAAATGTTCACGTCATTTAGTTATGCAGTACAACCCAAATTTCGCTGACCAGTTATTCCTTGTTATAATAATTTTTCACTGTGTCGTTGCGCCAGTTATTTGGATTTGTGTACAATCATTACCGAACCACAGATAAGTCCGACAACAGATCAAAACTATCTCATAATATAAGCGATCTTTTGCCTGTTATAACAGAAAATCATTTAACAAAAAAATATAATTGGTTTTTACATTCGATTATTAGTTATATCCACTCATACTTTAGGTATATCATGGATGAAACTCGGTAAAACAACCGTAGAAATCACAAGGCAGTGGACACTTATTTCCTCGTCGTATGAGACACCCTGAAAGTGAGCGTCCACAACTTGAGCGAAGATATGAGCCAGGACCTTCATACCTTGTCTAGTTACCATCAGCTGGAATGATATAGAATCCTATTAACTATATTTTTCGATTAGATAGCTGAAGCATATATTTGATTACCATTTATATTAGAAATGTTAGTAAATTGCCAAAAATGCTTTGGATTTTGCACTTGTTGACTTCTTTTTGTTAGATTACATTCTAATATTGTGAACACAGTTGAATCTGAATGATCATATGCAGTTAATTCATTTAAATAACTGGATGATTAATTTGTGCTTATTCTAAAAGTATGACTAAATGTTGAGGAATAAAGCATTAAATATAATCTAGTAATGTCTGATTTCAACTCCTGTTTATTTCTTTTCTATGAAACTACAAATGAACTTTATATTTAAAAGGAAATTGGAACAGTTCACAGTTATTTACTTGAAAAAGTATTTTAATTTTCCGATGTTTAGTAGATATTTAATCTTTTTTGTTGAATAGAAGCAACATATGCAGTTTGTTCGAAAAAACCAATTATTTGTTTACGTGCACAACGTGATTATAAACCAAAAGGTTGGCTAGGTTTTATAACTGCCCGAGAAAACCATATTGATATTTCTGGAAAGTATCCATTTGATGAGTATTTTCCCAATTTATGTCGAAGAATTGATGAATGCATAAAAATTAAAACAGATCATTGCAGTTGATCATGTAAGTCATATCATTTATGAGTTATTATTCATCAGTAATATCATTTTTTTAAAATTAATAGTTTCGAATATTAAAATAGGAATATATAATGAAGCCCTAAAAGACTTTTATGTCACAGATGAAATAAATGACTAAGATCAACATAAAAACTAGTTTAATTTGAAAATGACTTTTTGTTACGAACTAAATTCAAATAGAAAACCATTTAAATATAAGAAACATTGAACAACTGTTTCATTCCAGCATTAAGGTCCAAATTATTAAGCACTGATAATCTGGACACACTCATTACTGTTTGTTCAGGTCACTGAGTTGAAATTTATTGATTTTTATTTACAATTTAAATCATATTATAATAAACGCATCAACTACCCGATATTGTTGGTAACATTGGTTTCTATTTTGATGTGGTTGGATATCATCAGTTACGGCTTCCTCATGAAACATCGGAAATTGTGCATGTAACTAATGAGTATTAAGCATAAAGTCTTTAGCAATTCTAAGAATTTTTTTTCAAATGGTTCATCTTACTGAAAAATCATTTAAAACTATTGATTAATAGATAATTATTTTGACTCTTTAAATCCGTAAGCCAATTACGCAACTGAAATTGGATTTCAATATCTTAAAATATTGAAGCCAGAAATTCATAAACCAGTTTTTAATTAACATTAATAAAACGGAATTTTTTCTAACTGATATAGTCTAAACGAATAGTTTATCTTTTAGAACATTTTCTACAGCAGATCATTTTTAAGATTATATAGTAGCTTTCATTGACTTTACAATCAGAGATGGATGGTGGCTAACGGCAGAATCTAGGACGCACGTTTCGTTCCATTTGAGACTCAACATATGGATATACCTTAATTCTAAAGCTGATGTTCACTCGGGGACTTGAACTTAGTACCGTTCATTTTAAACGCCATAGCGCTATCGACTTAGCTATTGAGTACAGTTAGCCATTATCTTGTGCAATGGGGAGAAATCTAATTCATTTTTGGACTAATTAATTAGGACAGCCACTGGCTATCTAGACTCAGTAACTAAGTTGATAATGCTATGGCGTTTGAAAGGAACGGTACTTGGATCGAGCCCTGGAATTAATATCATCTCAGGGGCGCAGGTACATGCAACTGACGAGTCCGAAACAGGACAACACGAGTATCCTGAATTCCACTGCTAGCCACCAACTATATCTGCTTATATTACCTGTAACCCAAAGTAATATCAAGGCGACAAGCACAGGATGCACATATGTCAATGAGTGACAGATCAATCACAGTCCCAAACTTCAGTGGGAAGATCCAAACAACTAATTGAAAAATGAGCTTTTATTGACTTTGTTCGTTAACAGTACTTTATTTCCTGGAATTGACTTAAGTTTATTTTTTTTTAACTGTTCAATTGGTGTTTCGAAATGATTTAAGCACTTTGTCAATCTTTCAGAATCACGTAAGAGATTCACTTGTCGGCTGTAATCTACCTCATCATTATAATGTAATATGAAATGTAGTTCCGATTATAAATATGTTTTTCATTTCAAATAAAAATTTTCTATCTGATGTCGTTGTAAATAACGATTCCAAGTAGAAGAACTCTTGAAAGATCAAGAATTAAACTGTAGTTCATGACACTTGAATATTACTTTCAGTATTTACAGACAGTCGGAATGTGATCAGTAGTAGAATCCAAAAACGCGTTTTCATACTATTTGGTACTCGTCAGCTCAATGAACCTCCATCTCAGGGTTGGTGTTCACTCCGAGTAGCAAACAAGAAGGAATAAGGGTCCTGGATTCTACTGTTAGGCATATCCCATCGTTTTTTAAACAACTTGTATTACAGTGGCTTTATCGAGATAGTCCCCATAGGATACTTATATGTCAACTGGGAATGAAAAAAACTTTATTTAACATATAACAACAACATAATCTAATTCATTTAAACTTGAATAAAAAAGACATTTTGTAGCGGGTCTTAGAACGCCTCTGTGTATTTTGAAGATTAGCCAAAAAAATTGTATAAGAACACTTTTCTCATTGATTTTCAAATAATAACAAGATTTACTGGGCTTCCGTCAACGTTTTTTCAAATAAAATTTATTCATAGAATCATCAATGATGTTATTTAGCGATTTAGAATCCATACACTTATTTCACTAAACTTCGTAATGATTTATAACATGGCGCTTTAGAAAATACAGTTATTTGAGGAATCGTAATAAATTAAAAACATTAAATGAGTTTTTCATTTGGAGTGATTGTAAACATCCAAGAACAAGTGTTATTTGATATTATTCTACTGAATGATACGTTTTGTTTAAGCAACTTCAGTGTTTGCTACTTATGCGGACAGATACAAGAAGTATGTAGCACGGATCGTAACTGGAAACCTTACCAAAAGAAGACAGAAGTAAAGAGAGAAGAAAAGAAAATAGATATCAGTTAGAACGACTACAGAATTGGAAGAACGATGGGGATATGTAAATGATGTATTTAATGTATGGTTTTAATATTTTACAAAAACACTGTGTGACTTTTCCCCGAACCTAAAATCGGTTTTACTCAATTACTCTTCGCTCTCGACATAACCACCGTTTTCAAGAGCCATCGATTGTTGTCCTTAACGTAACAGACGAAAATATACAGACATGGACAGTTCAATTCATCCCCACTCACACACCTTAGTACCTATTTAAACTTAGAACTCAGTGAACAATAGGCTTATTGTTTTAAACCATATTACTAGGTTCGAGTCCAGAGGAGAACCTATATGTTGAAATATGTCAGGTACACCTAACGGATAAGTCCCGAGCAGGATAAGGCATTCATCATGGATTCCACTGTCAGCCTCTGTGACTAAAAACGTACGACGAGATGTTATTATTTAGACAATTTGTTCGGGATACATATCTTACTATAGACTGACTATTTTAGTTGTTAACATTGGCGCAGGAAAAATACAAACCATTTCAAATAATAAAGAGACGCTATTACCAATGAATTTTCAAGTTTGTTATTTTCGTTTATTTCCAGAAATAGTTCTCGATTTAATTTTGACGTGATTTTTGAAAACACGGAAGAATGTTACGCGCCTAGCAACAAACAACCTCCAAACTTAACTGACAATGTTTGAAATCAAGTTCAAATTTAAAACAAATTTAAATAAGATTTTATGTTTTTATTTAATTTCTAAACTACTTATGTATAGTTCATACTTTACAGTTATCTCTATAACAAGGGATTATCAAACTGTACGCTTCTATCTATTTTAAAACATTTTGGTGTAATGTCCATGTTTTACTAGATTTCCTTCATTATCTTTTATTTACTTATTGGAATTATTATTTTATTGATGGGTTCTTTTGAAAAATTTCATTACTTTGGTTAAAAGCAAAACCAGTTTGATGTATTTTGATTCATCCAAGTACTGTGGTTAGATACTGGTGATAAAAGTATGTATTACCTTACATTTAATAGTGTTATGTCTACAATTAACACGTTTTGTTAATGTAGCACACTTGGATGAATGTTGTCGTGATAATGTAATTGTTGAAAGTGTAACATTTTCATATTTTCAATCAAACAGTAACTGCTTATAAAAATTAATCAGCTGAATGTTGTTCAGTCCACAATTCTGTAGTGCTTTTAATCAAATATTTTGGTGATATTTCAAACATTTTCATTTGTTTTAATAGAAAAAGATTGAGAATATTCTGAGAATAAGATGATTTCAATGGACGTTGCTGATTTCGATCCATTAACAATATACAGTTTGATAAGTTTAGCTAATTCAAGTAACTAAATATTTAAGAAATTAGTTGATACCAGGATAATGTAAAAGTATTTATAAAACGTATTTGTAGTGAGGCGCTTGTTTGAAAGTTTCAAATGGATGTTTTTGTTATATCGACTGAGTGAGTGCCCTGTTTAATATATGAACGTGCTGATCCCCACCAATCAAAGAGGAGTGAATTATCTATCAGAACAATGATACATAAAAACCATAAGAGCAGTCTTGAGCACTTATCAGTCCTGCTTTCTGCCTGGCCCACCCAGTTAAGTCTAGAACACCAATAACAGCCTCTGCAATATGAATCATTATTCTCAAACATACTGGGTTTATATATCAAACAAACTGGCCATAAAATAGAAAATAACATTTGTACAAGATTTGGCTAAATGTGGCTGTGAATAGGGGGAACAGTAATCAATAGACTGGAGATAACTCAAAAATGGTAAATCATATAATAATAGTCTATAGGTCTAAATAAGGCTCATAATAAGAGGGATACGAATATGGATACTTTAGTTGCTTAACAATTATACAATACGAAATATATATATCACATTTGTCCATAAATAGTTCTCCGAGTTACCATTCATAATTCTCCACGGGATATAACAGTTTTAGAATAATATCACATAATATTAACAAAGATTCAGGAAGGATATACAAAGATGAAGAGAAATCATCAATAGTCATAAATAAATTATTGAATAACAAAACTGTAATATCAATGCTCAGGTCTACTGTTGTTAGTTTTAGGACTTTTCAGTCTTTTGTGTAAAACAGCCTTGTATGTAGTTTAATTAATTCATATTTTCATGGTTGAAATCGTGAGTCAATTGAAGCTAGACCACCACGGAAAACCTGGAAACACTGGACGACCGTTTCGTCCTCGTATGGGACTCCTCAGCAGTGCGCATTCACGATCTCGCACTCGTGAGATTCGAACACAGGATCTACCATTCTCGAACCAGAGCCCCTAACCGATAGACCACTGAGCCAGCATCCAACGATGTTAATGTCTAACTTCAACTGATCCACTAAGTTGAGCAGACGTTCACCAATGGTATTCAGTGAGTTGATATCTCACGACAGACGTGGTTTGAACTCCTCTGGTCACTGCTTTTAGACTTTTTTGATTATATTTTATTTAATCATCTGTATGAAACTACCCGTTTTTTAATTAACTTTAAACGAGACATGATTTGTATTTCCCGTCTATCACTGTGAATAATCAAAGATACAATTCATTTCAATCTTAATGCTATCCTTGTTTTTTTCTGAACAAAATATATGTAGTTAGTGTGAAACTCTTATTATCCAATCCTGCCGTTTATAGTGTATAGTCAATGTCAGTTTATGAAGTAAAATATAATTAAATGGATTTATTCAGGTTTACTTTACACTGGTGTCAGGTTTTCCCATATGTGCAAAATGAAATGAACAAGAAATTCTAGAAAAAAAAATCATTTTCTGGCTATGGAATATCGTATCACATGATCATTTTGTATAGATGTCTTCTTTCTGTTCGATAGACGTTTATAGAACAAAGTAAGGTAGTTTATTTTCAAAAGAAAAAAAAAAGCAGACTGCCTAACAGACATGCAAACTGTTATTGATTATGCAAAGATAAATAAATCCCCATAAGTTATTATGATCGTAAAAGTTGATCAATAAAATAGATGTAAAAACGTCGTCAAGGTACATTAGCCAATCAGAATGTTGAAAATAAGTATAATACTACGTAGTATAGATTTTTAATAATGAACACTTAATGAAATAACCTGTTTACCGAATTGAAAACGTAAAGTTCTTTTGAAAGAATAGTAATATTTACTAATGAAATGTTTAGATAGGTTCTTAACCAATTGGGATGTAATTCGTAAAAATCAAGACATATATTGATAAGTGAAAAATATGAGCGTATATAATAAAAACTTGTTTAATCGAATATTTACGCAATTGAGCAGATCCCAGTATAATGTGTTTGATTATCATTCGAGTTCAAATGCAGTCGATCAGGTTATAAATTGCTTCGTGTAACTCAGTATAATGTCCCCGAGTATGAGATTCTATGAGACTGGTATTTATTTGACGGTTTTGTTAAGATTTCAAATATCGCAAAATTAAAACAGAAGACTTTAAGATGACTACTTCCAAGTATTCAGCCTCAACTCTTCTGGTTCGTGTATGGTTTACTGTTTGTCCTTGATTTGAATTTTTCTTCAAATTTTACTTACCTACCTAATGCATTTGAGTCAGACCAGAAAAATATTAATAATATGCTTTATAAAATTGTAGGGTCATTATGAAGAATCTAATTAATGTGTCAGTATTATTATTATTATTGGCTTTCTTCAATATTATATTATTTGGTACAAAATCGAATTCTCAGCATAAAGTATTTCAACATGTTTACGTTTCTTATTTCTTCGTTGCTCCTGATGATAAACATTCAGTGATCGCCAGTTGGATGTCAGCAGTTCAGTCAATCGACATATGAATAATGTATATTCTTTTTGCTGCATATTCCCAGCAAACACGACATCTCTGATTAGGCTTTTTGTAACTTTTACAGCGAAAGGTTGTACAGTTTACAGAAACGCACCGGAATAGGTTGTGTCCTTAATAGCCATAATTATGTATTAAAACAAACAATATTAGATAACTTGTTGAAATATATAGATGATGGGAAACAGGTAGCCCAGATGTTTAAGCAGGCCGCCCAATATATATGTGATGTATAAGGCTGTGGAGATAGTCGAGTAATAATTGAGATCATGAACCAATCAAGTTTGACCACCACCACCTAATACCGTACCAGAGTTTAAGACTAATTTCTCATCACGGTGTAGTGAACAAGAACACAAAAATTACGGAACATCTTAGTAAAATCTGAGAATCATACAGTAAATACCATATTTGTAAAATGTCAATCAATCATCTCAGACTTCATTGTTACTTTGTTTGCACACCAATAATTTTCTGTTCTTGTTCTCCTTTTTCGATCTCCTTGACCTTCTGCCGCCAGGCATTTCACTTTCGACTGATGATACATACTACTGGTATCTGTCGATACCAGTAGCACACACTACAACGGTTTCAGATAACTCAAAATTAAAAGGCAGTAATACAAATTATCACTTTTTGCTTTTATTAGGTATAATAACCAATACATTTAACTAGTAAATAAATAAGGATTTCAGTTATCTGATAGTCATCATAACGCATAACAAACACAAATATGGTAATAAGAATGTATTATCAAGCTGTACAATCGTAGATATGTGAAACTTTTTTTGTTAATGTACTAGTTCCGTGAAGTAATTAGAACAGGGAAATGACCAAGATGACATGATAGAAAGAATATAATATTAGATTATGTAATACGTTTTACACTAATCTTCGTGTCTCTAATGTTTAAATGAGAATTACCTGTCAGTAAGAATGTAGTCTAGTTTAGAAGAGCTGAAAAATTATTCAATACTTTATGACAAAGAACAACTATCAAGTGTAAACAGTAGAATTCAAATCTCGGAAAAGTCTAATTTTAATATTTTAATGAATATCAAGAAATTCCACGTTAACAATCTATTAGCTTCAAAAAACTCGATACACATCTAGTAGAGTTTACAGAATTCTATTCATCATTTGAATTTAGTGCGAAAATGTTCATTCAAAACCATTTCATAATGATTAGGCCTCATTTGTAAAATATGAAAAAAAAGAAAACCATATTAGAAATCATCGTAATAATAGTAATATGTAAATCACAAAACTATTCAGAACATTTTAATTAATTAAGTAGTATAATGACAAGAGAAAAGAAAAACACACAAAAAGGAAACGCGAGACTCAAATGGTTTTAAGCAAAGATGGATAGTGGCTAGCGGTGGAATCCAGTTTGACAAGCTCTTCGTCCTATTTGGGAATCGTCAGCTGGATGAATCTGCATCTCAGAGATGATGTTCACTCTGGGACTCGAACCCAGTACCTTTCGCTTCAAATTGAGTTATCAAATGGTGTTGTTCATTACTCATGACGTTTATTTTTATTCTATTTTCAAATCTGATCCTTTTTAAAGATAAACTACATAATAATATTTTGTTATTCATAGTTTGTAAGAATAATGAACCAATTCAATAGTTACACATCTAAGTAATTTAATTTATATTCTATAAAGCAAAGAAATTGCAAATACAAATTATAATGAAATAGATTATTTTAATAGTTGAGATAATTATTTAATTGAACCTAGATCATCATGGAAAACCTGGAAGCACTGGAAAGGCGTTTCGCTTTATTGTGGGACTCCTTAGCAGTGCGCATCCACCATTCCGCCTCGCGAGATTCGAACTCAGGACCTAACAGTCTCGCGCGCGAGCGCTTAACCTCTAGACCACTGAGCCGACTTCCAACTGTGGTAATGTCCAACTCTAACTAATACACGAAATTGAGCCACACGTCCACCACTGACTCATGATCTCAACTATAAAAATTACTATAATATACACAGCAACTCATTTTGAAATGGATTATGTAAAAAAATATTTGGAATTCTGTTATTCCTATGAATGCGAGATAGAAAACAGTACGAATTTGTTATCATGAAATAATAATAGAATCTGTCTATTTAGTTACGTGCAATTGAATGTCATTATACATGTTTAATTGTCTTTGTTAAAATTTTAGTAAATGAATATATTGAGAATCTTTTGGATAATATTTTGGTCCATTTATTTATGAACATATAATAATTATTTACTGAGAACAATAATAAATTAATATTTAACGCTTTCATTTAATGTTGCCTGTAGCTCTTCTAGGGTTACTACCGTAGTGTGGTCTACTTATATCCATATAAGTAGTATATGACGATGGTCAGACATAGAATGTATTTTGGCAGAGGACCTATAAGGAAATAACTGAAATGAAGCGCAGTTGGCAGGAAAATGCATAAACAGTGAAATTAAAGAAGATGAACTGATATTTGCAGAAAGAACAGTTAAGATTGAGACAATTGATTGTTATTTTACAAATTAACTGATCATTGTACGGTTATCAGAATTTAGTGAGATAGTCTGTAATTCGTGTTTAAATACATTCGATTGTCCCCGAATGTTGTTTTGTTCACTACACTACTACTAAGTAAGAGCAGAGTATTGAATATTAGGTTAACCACTCTATCCTGTTAAAAATAACCTTGTAAAATAGTACTTAATTTGCATATCTTCCTTGTGAATGGAATTCTCAACTCGCTAACGAATATTAACTTAAAATTGTTGATTATTGTAGGATTGTAAAACCTGTTGTGAATGGCTTAAAAATAAACTTAAGTTATTTTCAGTCATTGTAAAAATCACTTTGAAAATAGAAATGATGCCTACTAGTATACAATTAATTAGAATCAAATGATTGATTTTCCAACATCCTCTGAAAAGTATTAGATGGGCAATTACAAGTATACATATTATTTATTCGTTCTTAAGTGTATTACGATTTATAACAACCTTACTTTGAAATATCTAGCGACATTAATTGCTTGTGTTATTCTGGTACATTCACTCGACTCCAGTAACGTAAATAATAAAACAGCTTAATTTAGTCCAAAGGATGAAGAAAAAGAAGGTTTTCACTATCTAACAGGTAATCATCAAAATGATCATTTTGCTTTTATTGATTTTGTTATATTTTAGTAAAGATGAAATTAGGGGTGGCTTCTGAGAACTATTAGTGGACTAATATTACATATATTCCTATTGTAAAACTGTTCAGCAACTAGTATTATTATGCGACTTACTGTTCTTATGTTATGTTCAGTTTATTGATTACAATCACCCTTGTTCACGGCTTTTTTTTGGGTTGATCTTGTACAAATGTTATTTCCTATTTTATGGTGTGATGCGGTCTGTTAGGCTGATATATTAAACAAGTATGCTTAAAATGATTCCCATAGCAGAAGTTGTTATCAGCGTTCTCGAATCTACTGGACGAGCTAGACGAACAAAAGACCAATAAGGACTCTAGGCTGCTCATACCGGTCGAACGTAAATGGTTTAACACAATACTAATATTGAATAAGTAGTATTTCGATTAGTGAATAATTCGCGTGGTAACTAGCCGAGCTTAATATTACAACAGGTTTCATATATATACTTTTATGCGATTTGTGAACTAAGTAAATTACGATACTCATTTACTAGTCCATCTTAAAACTGTTACTGTTTCCGCCAATCTGTGGAAACTAAGGTTAATTATTATGAATGAAGGTGTTAAAGTTAAGAAAGACACTGTTAGTAGTTCCACATAAAGATGAAATAGATGTACAGTGCCCCTTAATTTTCAAACGTACACTAAATGATATAATTTTGAGATAATTTCAATCTACAAATGGAGTTTTCAGCAGTAGTAATGATTTTTACATTAGTTTCATGATACGGAATGCGATATAGTTACAAACTAAGAAACGAAACATACCACTTCTGTTGATTTATTTTGGCAATGATTATTAAGTTGAGCAATCGATTGATTTTTATAGACATCTATTCGTTTACACAATTCAATAAATTTATCTTCAAAAGGATATTTTCCAGAAATGTCAATATACAATCGTGTCCCCATCATAAAACCTAACCATCCATCTGGTACGTATCCTCTTTGTGCACGTAGAAATAATATTGGCTTTTTTTCATGATAAGCGTATTGAGCTTCTGGGATCAAAAACAAGTGGTTCTTTTTAAATGTTGAGTAATAGTTAAAGAAAATACACTAAAATATGTTCATAATTACGAGATGTTGTAAATGCTGCATCCCGATTTCACTGAACGTATACAAAGAACAAAAATAAATGTGTAAATTCATAAATAAACAACAAATATTCCCTCACAATGAAAGTAAAAACATCATGTAGATTTAATATACGCCCAGGACGTGCATTTCTTTCTGTCTGAGATCTATCAGATAGATTTGCCTTTATCTGATAGGTAATGTCTATATCATGATTCAAATCCAGAAAATTTACCTTCACACGCGGAAGAATTATAATGACTGAACAATGAAGTCCTGGATGTCTGTCTTTCAAACATCGGTTTGACTATTTTAGTTTCTAGATGAAAGTAGGATTTCACAAAAAACTGGTTAAAATTAATTATGTATACTAGAAATAAATTTAACCAATGAGAGCTGCTTTTGTATGATGTTTTGAGAATCAACACAGTAATTCCGTACAGAACATTAGGCTTACCTACAACTTCTAAGGTCCATCGTGGGGGGGGGATCAAACTGAAATATTTTCGTCCTAAACTATTGCTCATAAATTCTCATATTGTTCAAAATGCAGAAGAAACGTATCTTAATGGTCAACATATAATAAATAAGAATGCTTGGAAATTTATATCAAATCTGCAATTTTTATGATTTCTAGTACGCTGTCTAATAGACGTCTAATTGCATATGAATTGTATTCTAAATAGCAAATCCCAAGTATAGATGTTCATTCAAACATGATGGTATCTACGAAAGAATAAGGACCATGAATTATTAAATGTGCTTACCTTCCAAACACAAACACTTAATTAGTGCAAGTTATATTTGTACTAAACTCCGCCTGTAGCTCCTCCAGGGGCTACTGCCGGTCCCAAGCCCGGGTAAAGGAGGAGGGTTGGGCATGGGGTTAGCGACCCCATCCCGTAGAAAATCAACTCGCTAAAAAAACGCTAACCAGAAAAAATCATTCAAACCATTCAAACTCTGCCCTGGGAGTAGAAGGAAAAATGACGTCTCATGATGAAAGCCGAGATCATTCGGAAGTCATGAGGCCGATGCACCTTCTTACAACCAGAGCGACAATTTTTATAGGTACATGGAATGTCCGGACAATGTGGGAGACCGGCAGAGTCTTCAAAATTTCTGCGGAAATGAGGAAATACAACCTGGAAGTGCTTGGAATCAGTGAAACACATTGGACGCAGGTTGGACAACAACGACTGTCTTCAGGGGAACTTCTGTTATACTCCGGTCATGAAGAAGAAAATGCCCCACATACACAAGGAGTGGCACTGATGCTGTCTAGAAAAGCACAAAATGCACTTATAGGATGGGAATCTCATGGACCGAGGATCATCAAAGCCTCCTTCAGAACAAAGAGAGAGGGCATTACAATGAACATCATCCAATGCTATGCGCCGACCAACGACTACGATGAAGACGCTAAAAAGCAATTCTACGATAGGCTGCAGTCAATCTTCGAGAAGTGCCCAACCAAGGACCTGACCATTCTAATGGGAGATTTCAATGCCAAGGATGGAAAGGACAACACTGGATACGAAGACGTCATGGGACAACATGGACTGGGAGGAAGGAACGAAAACGGTGAGAGATTTGCAAACCTATGTGCCTTCAATAAACTGGTCATAGGTGGCACCATATTCCCACACAAAAACATACACAAAGCCACTTGGATTTCACCGGATCACACTACACAGAATCAAATCGACCATGTCTGCATCAACAAAAAGTTCAGGAGGACGATGGAGGATGTGAGAACCAGAAGAGGAGCTGATATAGCTTCCGATCACCATTTGCTGGTCGCCAAGATGAAACTAAAACTCAAGAAGCACTGGACAATGGCGCGGACAACATCACAAAAGTTTAACACAGCCTTTCTTCGAGATGCTGACAAACTCAACAAATTCAACATAGCCCTCAGCAACAGGTTCCAGGCCTTTCATAACCTACTCAATGAAGAGGGAACCACCATAGAGAGCAGCTGGAAAGGTATCAAGGAGGCAATCGTTTCAACATGTCAGGAGGTTCTGGGCCAAAAGAAGCACCATCACAAGGAATGGGTCACTGTTGGTACACTGGATAAAATTGAAGCAAGGAGGAACAAGAAGGTAGCAATCAATATCAGCCGAACCAGAGCAGAAAAAGCCAAGGCACAAGCCGAATACACAGAGGCAAACAAGCAAGTGAAGAGGAGCATCAGGACCGACAAACGTAAATATGTGGAAGATTTAGCGATGACAGCGGAAAAGGCTGCAAGAGAGGGAAACATGAGACAACTGTATGATACAACAAAGAAATTTGCTGGAAATTACCGTAAGCCAGAAAGACCAGTGAAAAACAAGGAAGGCAAAGTAATCAACGATATTGAAGAACAACGAAACAGGTGGGTAGAACACTTCAAAGAACTCTTGAATCGACCAGCTCCACTGAACCCACCCAACATCGAAGCAGCACCCACAGACCTCCCAATCGATATTGGCCCACCAACAATTGAAGAGATCAGCATGGCCATTAGACAAATCAAGAGTGGCAAAGCAGCGGGACCAGACAACATCCCGGCAGAGGCACTGAAAGCAAATGTAACGGCAACTGCCAAGATACTCCACATCCTCTTCAGTAAGATTTGGGACGAAGAACATGTACCAACAGACTGGAAAGAAGGACTTCTCATCAAGATACCAAAGAAAGGCGATCTGAGCAAGTGCGACAACTACAGAGGCATCACTCTCCTCTCAATACCAGGAAAAGTCTTCAACAGAGTATTGTTAAACAGGATGAAGGATTCCGTGGACGCTCAACTTCGAGATCAACAAGCTGGATTTCGTAAGGATAGATCGTGCACAGATCAAATCGCAACTCTACGTATCATTGTGGAACAATCAATCGAATGGAATTCATCACTGTACATCAACTTCATCGACTACGAGAAGGCATTTGATAGCGTGGACAGGACGACACTGTGGAAGCTTCTTCGACACTACGGTGTGCCTGAGAAGATAGTAAATATCATACGGAACTCCTATGATGGACTAAACTGCCAAATCGTCCACGGAGGACAACTCACCGACTCGTTCGAGGTAAAGACCGGTGTTAGGCAAAGTTGCCTACTCTCACCCTTTCTCTTTCTCCTGGTGATCGACTGGATCATGAAGACGTCAACATCTGGAGGAATGCACGGGATACAGTGGACAGGCAGGATGCAGCTTGACGATTTAGACTTCGCTGATGATCTGGCTCTTCTATCACAAACGCAACAACAAATGCAGGAGAAAACGACCAGTGTAGCAGCAGCCTCAGCAGCAGTAGGTCTCAATATAAACAAAGGGAAAAGCAAGACTCTCCGATACAATACAATATGCACCAATCCAATTACACTTGACGGAGAAGCTTTGGAGGATGTGGAAATCTTTACATATCTGGGCAGCATCATTGATGAACACGGTGGATCAGATGCAGATGTGAGGGCGCGGATCGGCAAAGCAAGAGCAGCATACCTACAGCTGAAAAACATCTGGAGCTCAAAACAATTGTCAACCAACACCAAGGTTAGAATTTTCAATACAAATGTCAAGACAGTTCTTCTGTATGGGGCAGAGACGTGGAGAACTACGAAAGCCATTATCCAGAAGATACAAGTGTTTATTAACAGCTGTCTACGCAAGATACTTCGGATCCGATGGCCAGACACTATCAGCAACAAGTTACTGTGGGAGAGAACAAACCAGATTCCAGCGGAGGAAGAAATCAGGACGAAGCGCTGGAAGTGGATTGGGCACACTTTGAGGAAATCACCCAATTGTGTCACAAGACAAGCCCTCAAATGGAATCCTGAAGGTCGAAGGAGAAGAGGAAGACCAAAGAACACATTACGCCGAGAAATAGAGACAGACATGAGAAGAATGAACAAGAACTGGAAAGATCTAGAAAAGAAGGCCCAGGACAGAGTGGGTTGGAGAAAGCTGGTCGGCGGCCTATGCTCCATTGGGAGTAACAGGCGAAAGTAAGTAAGTAAGTAAGTATATTTGTACTAGGAAATACCATAGTATATACCATACAACAAATATACATTCTATAGTTCAAATCATGACTCAATTGAAGCTAGACCACCATGGAAAACCTGGAAGCATTGGACGGCCGTTCAGTCCTATTGTGGGACTCCTCAGTGATCTAGAGTTTAAGCTCTCGCACACGAGACCGATAGGTCATGTGTTCGAATCCGGGAGGCGGGATCGTGGATGAGCACTACTGAGTCCCAAAATAAGACGAAATGGCCGTCTAGTGCTTCGAGATTTTGCATGGTGGTCTAGCTTCAATTGTCTCATGATTCCAACCATAAAATTACTAAAATCTCCACAAAAAACCCTTTTCTGAAAACATACATTCCATATTATAAGGTTATTTTAAATGATCAGTTATTTATCAGTGATCTTATTTTTAATAATGTCAATTAAGTGACTTATTCTATCTTCTTACTCAGTACAATTCAATGGTTAGTTAAATGTTTTGCCTGTTTTATGGAGTTGATCATAAAGAAATCTTTTTAAATATCGGTGAATTATGAAAACAACCCCAAAATCAACTTTTGCATCATTCCAATGCGTAAAACCACTTATATGTTCAAATATGATCTATACTACAGAATAGATTAAGAAAGAACTTAGTTTTTGTTTAGAAGAAGCCATTTTAACATGAAGATCATAAAGAAAGTCAATATAAGAAAACAAAAACATTTGCCCCCCCCCCACAAATAAACGTTTTCTTAGTCAAATAAAAGTTGATTTAACTTACCACATTTTGTATGAAGACTTTCTTTATATGATTTAGAGTAAAGGATACAAACAACAAATGAATTTTCTACAGCTTTTGCCATACCCTCCATTACATCAGTTTCATACATCATATCTTTATAGTCAATCCATACCTAAATGTTTGCGAACATAGGCATATATAGAAAACAATTATTACAGATGAATAACTCTTCAGAAAAATATATATACATTGTTTAAAATAAATAGATTAGATATATTACAGTATGCCGTAGTATTTATGGTGGTTTACCGACTGGTATAACTGATTTCAGACAAATCACTGAAATCTTGGCACTTGTGCAAAAAGCGTGCAAGTTTATTAGCTTTTATGATGTTTCAAATGTAAATTTTAATTCTATCTATTTGTCAGTACGGAGTCATGGATGCGCACTGTTAAGGAGTCCCCTACTAGTTTATTGACCCTGTATCGGACTCCAATTGAATAGTACGATGATGCACATTACCATGTTGGGTTCGCCATTTTAGTGGCTCTGAATCTGACTCCAGTTGGATAGTATGAATGTTATTGAAATATACATATCGCGTGTGAGTCAACTTCACAGCGCGTTACATTGCTTCGCTCTCTTTTCTTTGCTTCCTTTCCTTCGTCCTCTTGTTTGTCTGTTCAGATCAATGATTGTACAGAATATACATAGTCAAACATCCATTCTCGTATTTGACTTATTTAATTTCGTTATTCACTCAAGCAATTTAAGTCGATAATTTTCTACGAGGATTGGCGACGTATGTATATCTCAATAACAATCAATTTAACTGGAGTCAGTTATCGAACCATTAAACTAGACCGTCTAATGCTTCTAGGTTTTGAATGGTGGTCTAACCTTCATCGATTCATGATTTCTATCCACTTGTCTAAACAGTAGAAAACGGAGACGAATGAATGAAACACATTTGACCATCAGTTTGCCATACGTCTTTTTTGACGAATCAAAAGAAAAGATGGACGTTACATTTTGTTATGAAGTAAATGACTTTACGTTTACTGAAATTTTTACAGACTAAAACCAACTGAATAAACATTTAACCGTAGTTTACATTAACATCTCTATTTTATTTCAATGGTACCATTAATTTTCTTTTATAAAACAATGCTTTTCGTCTAACATATAGTCAGTGGTTATTTCACTTTAATAAGACACTCAGGTCACAAGTAGCATAATGGTAACGTGTAAGAGGATAAAACTGGATGTTTTTGACAACATTTCCGACAAGTGTCAAACTAGTTCAAGACTTACTTGCCGATTGCCTCATATGAAGTAACAATATACTCTGAGATTTAATATTCCTCGCTCAAGAATGTCAGTTGGAGAATTATTAAATTGAATGGAGAATAAAAATGTGTTTAGTTCAGCGTGAAAACACATTTGTAGTTTGTACTTTTAATGTATTCAGTTAGTATCACTATGTACGAAGTTGAATGAACTATAAATAATGAGATAAATATTCGTAAACACACTGCAGAAAGTTGTTTTGAAATACTTTTATAAGATGTGATAGATCGTATGAGCTCCCGTATAATAATAAATTCTGTGACTTAATTCATTTACAGGAGAATCGATATACTTATTCAATTGAGAGAGATGTACTGTGGACTAATGACATTATCTGACCACATAACCAAGCGTTTTGGAGGTGAGTAATATAGTCTATCGGTTAATAGCCGAATAATTTCACATTTAATCTAATAATCTAGTCTATACTTGATAGTTTCAAATTTAAAGAAATATAATTTCTATTGAAATACATTTCACTAGACTGGAAGCTCTAATTTAATCTCATTTTATACAGTTTCTTTATAATACATTTACTATGAATCCATAGTTTTTCAAAATTGTGGAATCCTACTTTACAGAAAATGATGAAATAACACTATGCAAAGTCACTACAGATGATCATAATATAGGAATATAGCTACCCTTTCTTGGATAGTTAATTTGAATTTGCTAAATGGAGCGAACTACACTGCTGTTACCCTTGAATTTATTATTTTAGATATCTTAAATATTATAAATATCTATATTTTTTTGTAGTTTAAAGCGTGAGTCAATTGGAGCTAGACCACCATGGAAAACCTGGAAGCACTGGAACTCCTCATCAGGGTGCATCCACGACATCGCCACGCGAGATTCGAACCCAGGATATAAACACCATCGGATTCCGGGTCAGTGGTCTATGGGTTAAGTGCTCTGGCGCGAGACTGGTAGGTCCTGGGTTAGAATCTCGGGAGGAGGGATCGTGGATGTGCACTGCTGAGGAGTCTCATAATAGGACGAAATGGCCGTTCAGTGCTTCCAGGTTTCCCATGGTTGTCTAGCTGCGATTGAAGCATGCTTTCAACTATGAAAATACCAAATCTCCACATAAACCTCTTCTTTTAAAGTTGTTTAGTTTTTTAAACCTTGCCATGAAAAAAGATTCTCAAATCTTATTGGTTGTTTGGTAATCCCGACAACGATTCGTATAAAATTACTGAATAAAACAAATGTTTGAGTTTTGTCAACAAATGGTAACAATCCTAAGGTATAAAATCTATACTTTCTTTTATTATGAAGTGTCTGCTCTTTTACAACGACACAAAAGAGATCATTCAAGAAACTTAAATCTAAATGATGATCACATCACTCTTTAAAACAAGTAGATCATGGCTATCAGTGAAATCCAGGATATGTGTTTTGATCCATTTGTTTAATCGTCAGTTTGATCATTTGGTATCCCCTTGTTGATTTTAACAATAGGACCCGAATCCAATGTGTTTTGCTTTAAACACTAACTGAATAAAATTATCATGGAATAGATGTAATGTAGCTAATTGTAAAATCGAAGACATTTTTTTCATTCTTTTTGCGATTCATCAATTAGATATATTTCAACTTAGAGATGATGTTTCATTTCAAAAGAAGATTTAATATACACTGAGCTTCTGACTTCATATAATCATTTAATCAATTAAGCTATCAACAACGGCATAGTCCAAACCAATACAAAACAGAAGAGGTTTTGTGGAGATTTAATATTTGTTATATTTGAAAGCGTAAGTCAATTGAAACTAGACCACCAAGGAAATCCTGGAAGCACTGGACGGCCGTTTCTTCCTATTATAGGACTCCTTCATTCTGAACATTTATTTAATACAAACAAAATGAACTATGTTTGTAAATAGTTATTTATCTTTCATTAAAAAATAAACCAAAGAAAAAAATAAACCTCATCTCATAGGTCTTAAAACAAATAACAAATAACTTTACCTTATAACCTTTATTTTGAAGTTGTTCAACTAAATACTTTGCCATATCTTTCTCTTGATGACTATAACTAACCAATATATGTGGTATTGTATCTATTAAACCTATATTACTTTCACTGTTCATCAGCCATTCAGTTTTATTGTCGACTTGTTCATTTAATGAAGTTTCAACGATATTTGTTGTATTATTATCATCATTAATAGGTCTATTAGGGAATATAACTTTTCTTGAATTGGATATTATATACTTTCGAATTAATTTCATTGTATCAATAAAATAGAGACATAATAAATAAGTCAGCATTAAAAATCTTGTCATGTAGATGATCTCCTAATGATCAAAATGAAATATTGACATTCCATGAAAAGGTTCAGATTGCTCAAATAATTTCCATAGTGATTCTTCAACTGTTTTATATAGTTGGAATGTTGTCAAATAGTCTAAATTTATGTTTTTTAGATGAATAATCGGTCTATATTTAGATTGTTAATCAATTCATACTGGGAAATTTATTCCTGAAATAGCTTATCATTATACATAAATGATTAATAATCATAATGGAGTGCCAAGGAAAGTTAAGTGCGTCATTCAAAAGCTAAAAATGAAGAAGTTGCATACATATTGTCAAACTACAATATCAGAAGGGGTTTTTGTAGATGTTATATTAATTTTAATAGTCAAGATCATGGGTTCGAACCTTGCAAGGCGGGATCGTTAATTGCACTGCTGGGGAGTTCAACAATTGGACGAAACGGTCTTCTAATGCTTCCAGGTTTACCATGGTGGTCTTGCTTCAATTGACTCAGGATCTCAAATAATAAAAACTAAACTATCTTAGGATCTCCATTCTGAAATTTTGATGAATATTTGTAACTACTTAAGGATAGTAAGTACCATTACAATTGTTTCAGAAACTGTCGGAATAGATTGTGTCTTATGAAGGTAAAAACTAACTAATTATGTTTATTGTTTATCAGTTATTCAGTTTAAGTGAAAACACGTAGTTAGTCTTGTTTTCCCGGTTGAAACAATGTTGATTTGTTAATATAAAGCGTTTCTTAGTCTAAACAGTTATAAAATCAACTTGTCTATGGCAATAACATTTCTAAGCGTAATACAGTTGATTAGGTCTTTTTTACTGTAATCAAACATATGCCATTTTGTCCGTTTATTGACTTTAAAGAAACATCTTTCAAACACAACAGATAAATACCACTTATGAATAAGTCAATCATTATCTTCTTTTCAATCCATATTACCAATTTAAATATGTAGGAGATCATCAGTCACTCAACGTCGAGTTACCTATCGATTATATTTAGATAATCGTAACCCAACTTTGACTAACTATTTGACCGATCAGTTTTCTAGAATGAATGATATGAATTAATTGCTTGTCTATCAAATAAACAGCTGTATTCTTTACAAAAATGACATCAAACAACATAGCCAGTTGACTGATTGCATACTATGAGGAAATTAAATCGATATTTTGTACCCAAAATATCGGATTTATTTGCTGTGTTCAAAGTACTTTTCAGATAGAAAAGGATTGACGAATGTTATATATGGATATTTTACAGCTTGCACACCTCCATGTTACATAAAGCTCATCATTATGCACTGAGTGCTCTATGTTATTCAATCCTAAAGCGTTTATCATCTGCTCAGTGATAATTCAAAATGTAAGGCAGCTTTATAGTGACACACCTAAATTCATCCTTTCTCTTCCTTCACTTGTACATTCAATGCAATCATGTTGATATTTCATTTTTGCCAAGTTAAAGTCTTATTCAGTGATGGGATTGAAATGATTTTGATTTCAATAGGTTTCATTGCAGTACCTTTTTCATTTTCATTATAGACACAGTTTATTTAGAGAAATCCAGCCTTGGTAAATAAATGCTTGAATAAGCCTACGTTATCCTAAACATAAATGATTTATATAATATTTTTTGTATGGTACTGATTAGATTATTATGTGCAAAAACCTGGCAAATATCGCGAAAGACAACATTAACAATAATGTTTTCAAACATCATATAGCAATGTGTCAAACATTATTCACATCCAATAAAGTACGTCCTTTACACCCAAAAAAGTGACAACACGTAACAGAAGTCAAACGTTAACATACAGGCTTTTCGAGGAATTGACAAAACCTAAGGGTTGCGGAAGCAAAAAGATTATGAGTGATGAAAGCAGAAGGTTTTTAATCCCAAACATAAAAATAAACCAGAAAGACACAACAATGTGTGGAAAGAAATGAAATATGAATCCCACCTGGGTAGGGATAAAACTGTCTAAACAATTTAGACTACTGACTAATATTAGGTAGTATAAAATAACACACAAAAAATGGTCGATCAATATTCAAAGCATACAGTATCTAAAATAACAATTCACTAATTAAACCTGTAATTTATTGGTTAATTGATGTGGTGACAACATTATGCGTAGGTATATTAACTCTACGGTGCGAAATAGACATTAGTTTACGAAATCGGCTTACCAGCATTCAGCATAATTGTACAGAAAAAAGTTGGGGATTAGGATCTGGTTCAGTGGACTAAAATGTTAATTATGGTATAGAAATTGTAACGATTATATTTCGGTTTCTAAATTAGTCCCTTTTAAAAATATTCATTCATGACAAGCCGATTGGAATTCGGATTTGAGCATCAACATTTTCACGTGAAGTGGCAGACTTGAAAACAGATAGGTTTTCCTTTAATGAAAGCTGAGTACTTACATGCCTCAACTTAATAACACATTACCACAAAACATATAAGGACAGTGGTTTATAGCTTCATCAGTGTAACTTAGTTGCTGTCAAAAGGTTAAAATATCCGGCAACAAATAAGAAGGCGACCAATTACAAGGGAGTTGTAATCGAAGTCCCATATTTCCCTCAAATTTCTATTCCTTTTACCAGCATATCTATTTACTTCCACAAAATGTATCCTTTAACTCCAAACGTTGTTCTTTATTTCCATTAGGTTAATTGCTTTAGTTCATAGATATTCATCGTTCTTCTACTCAACCACTAATGCATACTCCTAAGTTGTATGCCTAACATTGACTCTAAATTCTAACCTAATTATCAAATTCTAATCTTAACACCTGATCGTTTTTATAAATTTTGTGCTAGTTTTTATGGAATAAATTATTCATTTGCATCACTGACATTATAAATGTCTAAAAATTAGCTTTTCTTACTAAGAGCCATTCTGTTTATTTTCAATAGCTATCAAATAAATGAATACAAGTGTGATTTTGATCACAAAATGGTAATCAATCGGTGCAAACAAAAAATTCATTCCATTATTTTCTCCCAACTAACTTCAATTATCTGACATCAATACATTTAGAAAACAATAATTTATCCTTTATACCAAAACACTACAATTAACTCAATAAACAAATTTCAAGTGTTTCATCTTCCGAGTGTAACTCATTGTCATTTATTGGAAACAAATTTAAGAGAATGTACAATCACGTGAAAACCGCACTGGTTATGACCCAAACAAAATGACATTGCAAAGTCAGTTAATAGATAAGTGTATGTATATGAGAAGAATAAACAACAACTCAATAGATCTAGAAAGGAAGGCTCAGGACAGAGTGGGTTGGAGAATGATGGTCGGCGGCCTATGCTGCATTGGAAGTAACATACCTAAGTAAATAAGTATGAAAGGGGGTTTTGTGGAGATTTAAGTAATTTTATGAAGTTGAAATCGTGAGTCAATTGAAGCTAGACCTCAATGGAAGACTTGTAAGCACTAAACGACCGTTTCGTCTTATTGTGGGACTGCTCAGCAGTGAGCATCCACGATCCTGCCTCACGAGATTCGAACTCAGGACCTCTGTTGAATTTCTTTTATTTTCTGGTTCTTATTGAGTTTTGTCAATTATGTTAGATAAATTGTCAATATTTCTAATAATCTAACTTGAGAGACATTTCATTAAGAAAGGAACAATTCAATAAATAAATCTTACTTGTTTTATCCACAGTTGAAACAGAAAGGAACAAAAGTATCATTCAAAGATACAATTTACTGAATTGATAATTTCATTCCAAAACATCTTTCAATCATAATTTCAGGAATAAAATTTATTTTTGTTGCTTAAGTTTGTTACATGTAGGGATTTCATTCAAATATTTAAAGAAACTTTACTAAAATATGATTTTATATTTTTTTGCATCATTGTGGCGTTTGTATGAACTAGTGATTCTTAATGACTGTCGGATTTCAAATTCCAAATACAATAAGTTCGTTCGTGCTGATCTAGTACTTCTTGGTTAAATTGACTTATTTCTGGGATTCTTAGTGTGTACTGTAATTCTAATAATTCAAATTATCACATCGCGATGAAGCATGTGATGGAACGATTGGCCATAACATTGCGGAGTAAGATTCCAACATTATTTCGTAGAGGAAGATAGTGTCGGAAAGTCTATGATACAAATTCTATATATCAATGGTTTCACTATATAACCGACATGGTGATTGTATGCAATTCCAGGACTTAGGTGAGTCCGTTCCGATTTCATTTAATAATTCTTATACTCATGATTAAATTCCAGATAATACAGTGTCTACATCAATAAACTGTCTGACAGACATAGGATGAAGGCGTACAATCGATTACAGAAAACGTGTTTCCAATTTAAGCTGTGACAGATGTGGTGTTTGTATGAACTAATGATTCATTTGTACTTTGTGTCTGTTTGATTTTGAATTTCAAATACAATACAATCATTCGTGTTCATCTAATACTTCTTCATTAAATTGCATTATTTCTGGGATCCGTAGTTTGTAACATAATTCAATTACTCTTAATTACCACGATCATTTATCACAATGTGTAAAAATTGTATTTTAAAATGAAGATCTATGATAAGTGGAAGTCAGAGATAATGATTATTTAACTAAAGATTATTTTGCTTGTTGATATTCATGACCAAAATGTGTAGTGGATAGTTTCATGGAAATTGAAGATAATCTAAAGACTGTTTGCATCGATTGCACACATTACTGTTTATGAATGTGAGCAGATAATATATTGACTGTAAAGTATCTTCTGATATCACATGGGGGTTTTGTGGAGATTTTAGCAAGTTGAGTCCCATAGTGAGACGAAACGGCCGTCAAGTGCTTTCAGGTTTTCCACGGTGGTCTAGCTTTAACTGGCTCATGTTCGTAACTATATAAGATATCTTCTGATAGAGTAATTCATTTTTGTTTGTACATATGTTCTTATCCATTCAAAAAATGAAAATTGTTTATTGTAAATGAACTCATTTATCTAACGGGCAATAGTGTTTAGTTAGGAATCTTAATGTAAAAAGTAAGTTATTTATCAAATATCG